GTTATTTTCTTATGAAACGGAAATCTTTTAAGATGGATAGATGTCCATTTTAGAATATAAGTGGTTTTGCTTTTGACTGCTTGTGTCTACTCTTCTTTTTATGTAGACAACAAGACATTAAATATATTTGCAATGTAAGCCTTCTTACAAATACGCCTGTTTGTATTCTTCCTTTGCATTTAGATCAAGTCCAGCTCTTGCAATGAAATGGGAAAGGATGGATGCCCGATTTAGCCATCCCTTTGGCGCCTCCTAGTGCATTTGAAGGGTGATGTTAGAGAGGATATGGTGCCATCAGTCATCATCACTGAAATATACCCTACTTAACAGAAAGGTGAATGATAGAAGAGAAACGTCAGCTGCTTACTTTTAGGACACACACACACAATTAATGTAGCATGAAACAAGATAGCTTTAAATTAAAAAAAATACTAATGAACTCTCAGTGTACAGCAAAATATAATTTCTTTCTGTCTCACACACACACACACACACAAACACACACACACACACACACACACACACACACACACACACACACACACACACACTACATAACAATACCATTATTATATATAGACAATATAAATAATTTAGCAAGCCCTTTTGATATAACATTACCTCATCTGACGTCAGTATAGTCTGTACTGATGACAGAGATATAATTAAATGAATGCTACCTGCAGCTAGAGAGCATAATGTACATACTGATATAATCATGGACGGTTTGTATAAGGAAATATATAGGAAATTCAGTGCAGTTGACTGCAGGACAGCTCCATCGATTTCTCGACGTTGATTGTGAAGGCTGAAATCGGCAGCTGCTGCGCAACTACTCACGTCTTCGTTGTTTACAATCTCGGTGAAATATGGCCATTTTCAAACTCACTCGTAGCAGTTAGAGCTAGGGAGTGCTTGACTTAGTTTTTTAATTATCAATTTTTAACTTGAAAAATAGAATACTGTGCAGCCATCGATTTAACTCCCCTTTCCTTTCCGTTTGTTTGGATTTTACCTCTTCTTACTGTGAGTCGGTAGCCGTTAAAGCTAGTTGACAAGCTAGCGTCTCCATAGGGAACAATGACAGCGACTTCAGCAGGTAGCAGTAGCTCTCTTGCCGCTAAAGGACTGGATATAAGTCTGGCTGCTCTGCAGCGACAAGACCCATACATCAATAACATTGTGGACCTGGCGAGCCAAGTTGCCCTGTATACTTACAACAACAGGACAAATGAGTGGGTAAGCCGGAGGGTTGGTGAATGTATCATGTGCTAACTTAGCTTTGTCACTCTGCCCGTTCGGCGCGCTTTGACAGATTGAAACTAATTCAGCTTATAGGAGTAAGAGACTATTGTTATTAACGTTATTTTCCATAAAAATAAAAATTGTTGTTGCTATGTTATGTTTTACTTCACATTATATTTGGAGAGTTCCCTGAAATGTGCTATTTTGACTATTTCGTCACCTACAAAAAGTCAAAATACTGGACTTCTTTTTGAAAGAATAGCGAGCTGGTGCACAAGTTAATATCAACAGAGATAAGGTTGAGCAATTATGACATGGAGTTGCTTTAATTAATTTTGTTGTCTTTTTTGTTTTAAGGAGAAGACAGAAGTGGAAGGTACTCTTTTTATATATACAAGGTAATGAAAATGTTAACGCTGTTAATCATTGTCATTTGAGACACATTTACTAAATTACAAACTGTTAAGCTGGCATGAACGGGACGTAACAAAACTGAACTGAGTTTGATAATATACAAAACTATAATAATATATAATGTGACCTAAAAGCAAAAGTTTTGGCAGTGCAGCAATGCTCAGGGAAACTGCAAGGTTACCAAGAGAAAGCCTCTTTTTTCTTTTAACAGAACATAGCAGCACAGCTTAGGTTTGCAAAGCTGCATCTGAATAAACCACAAGAATCCTGTCCTTTTGAGAGATGAGGCAAAAGTGGAGATGCACAGAGCTGAGAAAACCAAACTCAGCATATCAGAACAAACGCATCATACCAGCTGTCGAGCACGGTGGTGGAGGGTTGATGATTTAGGCTTGTTTTGCAGTGACAGGACCTGGATACCTTGTAGTAATTGAGCCCACCATGAGGATCAGATCTGGGGCCATCTGTTTGACATCTAATGCTTGGCTGAAATTGGGTCACGCAAGATGACAATAATCCCAAGCATAGCAGTAAATCTGCAACAGAATGACTGAAAAAGAAACTAATGAAGGTGGTGCAGTGACCCAGTCAAAGTCCAGACCTCAACCTCAACATGACTGAAATTCTGTGGTGGAACCTTAAGAGAGCTGCACATAAATGAATGCCTGGAAACCTCAATGAAAAGAAGCTCCACTGTAAAGCAGAGTGGGCCAAAATTCCTCCACAATGATTTGAGAGACTGATAAAGTGAGACAGTGAAATTATTATTACTGCTGACGGTGGTTCTGCAAGCTACGTGACATACTTAGTTTTTCCACAGGACTACATAGAATATGACACTATATTCTGCTGTCTTCAAATTTCAGGTTGGCCTCTCCTAGGCATGGTTTTACCATTATGAACCGGCTCAACATGCAGAATCTGACAGAGCCACTCACCAAAGACCTGGACTTCCAGCTCCAGGACCCGTTCCTGCTTTACCGCAACGCACGATGTAAGGAGAAACTGACTGACTGAATACACTGCAGTGATTTAATGCCATGTGAACTGTGCTTTCTTACTGCTAGTGTTTTTTACCATCACACCAAAAGGGGAAGTAAAGTATTTTACCTAAACTTCTGAAGATTAGTCAATTCAAAGACTATCAAAGACTCTGTATCGTTTGAAATGTTTACAGTAAAAAAAGACAACTGCATCGATATCCACAAGATATCGATGTAAAAGATGATGACATGATAAAAGTGCCCAAAGAGTCCAGCATGCGCTTCATTAAAGTAGGAACTAGTAATTCCATATAAGGAACTAAGCTAAGGTACTCCAGTGAATTTTATCAGGCTGACTCCGAGACCTACATATGGCTCCCACATACACAAACACATTGTTGAGTGTGGCTCTGGGACAAGAGTCTGACAGCACTACAAAATCAGCCAGCGGAGATTAGATACGCTGCAACTGTCACTGATAATCTAAACACACATACATACACTCAGAAGTCGCTGGCACACACAGACCTCCCTCCCTGCCTCGGTCTCCCTCCATCAGGCTTAGTAAATGGCAGGTGGAATGCTGTGTTTAGATACCACTGAATTCCTTGTGCCTGCTTTGATCCTCTTACTGTAGTGCTTCATTTTTCTTACTGACACAAAGCCATTATTAAACATCCTGAAGGCTCAGAGAAATGATGCGTCTGGCATAAACTTTGCTCAGTGACCTCATTACACCTTTTGCACCAGCCTTAAATGCACGCGGGGTGCATTAAAGATGATCTGTGATAGCGCTGGCCTGTGGTCAGAGCATCAGTAATGGAGAATGAATCTAAAGTGAGCTAACAGGCTTATCCATGGAAGGAGCAAACTTTAACAGCATATAAAACTAGTAATCAAAACACAGTTAATGATGGTTTCCTCTGATAAAATGCAATTATGGGGAGGAGTTATGACTCAAAGAGTCGGTGGTTACATGGCAAACCTAATGGTCTACCCTAATGACTCTATTTGATTACGATGATTGAATAAAGATGATAAAACATCAGAAAAGGAGCTATGCAAAACAATAGTAGCAGAAACAAACAATGGTATTAAAACAACCAGACAAACTGCACCTCAGATGCTGTGAAAAACATCTAAAGTTCAGCATGACTAAGCCAACATTCACTGAGCGGTTCCAGGATGATGGTGTTTGTGTGGTGTCCTTCCAGAAAACTGCATAAACAGGGCCAAAATTTATATTGCTGTAAATGGTTTTTCATTGTCTGAATCATAAGCTGCTGGTAATGCTGCCAGTCCTAATGCGCCGTGACCTCTGTGTGGACGGGGCCGTGGAATCTTATCATTAGATAAACATGTTGCTCTCAGCGCTGCTGTAACTTCCTGGAATGACCGTTGGCACAAAGTGGCAACCAATGCTAAAAATAAAGCACGGAGATATACCAAAGAACAAGGCAATATTTAGGGAGGAGATATTTGCCCAAAGCAAGGCATTATTTATCCAGGCACATATCTTAGTCTACATGATTAAAAGGAAGACTATTTAAAGTCCTGTCTAGCATCTGCACTTGTAATGTTCAGTTGCCCCGTTATTCACATACAGCTGTTCAGCTGATTTTTGTGAATTTTGGCTGTTGCTGATGAGCAATATAGAGCTAAAACTTGTATGATCTAATTTTTATGATTTTGACAAATTTTCGAATCTTTCTTGCAGCTTTGGTTAGAACTCATTATCAGTCCAGCAGTAAATTGTATTGTTTTTTTCTTGCACTATACTATCTATACCCTGGTAACAAAAATCTGCCTTTTTATTATCATGCATAAGCATGTCAAATGGACTCACAAATTTGACTTACCAGAGTCGCGCTTTAATGACTTTTTGTGGCAGTGGTTAACAAATGAATGAGGATTAGGTGATGAGAAGTTAATAGACTTCTGTTTCAACACAGTGGGTGGAAAAACATCAGTGAGGTAATAAGATGAATCGATGTGCAGTTAAAATGATATGATAATGACAGTTGACACACCCTGACTTCTGTGCTTTTTACTCTTCAGTTGCACAGATGCTTTCATGCAACGTGGACTTCTAGTGTATTACAAATCGATGTACTGTGATAGCATAGCATAGCATCTTTATTTATAACGGACTTTACATCCAACAATGTTGACCAAGTGCTACAAATATAAAACAGGTAAAAGGTCGTGAGCATCATCCTAATCAGTCATTTCCACCCCTAATATCAGCACTTAGATTTAACACTGATATGGGTCGGATCGTCTGGTATGTAATCCACTGGTATGTCTGGTATGCCATATATCTAAGAAGTACATCAATGGCTATATGGAGATTCTTACCTCCAGGTGGGATGTATCGATATCCCAGGTCTCTCTCTGTCACCAGCAATCCTCTAAATCTGACTTCGGGTTCCTCCTGCAGCCTCTCATGTTTAGGTTTCCTCTCAAACAGGCCCCTCAGCATGATCTCTCAGTGTTCTCACAGTCCGATGATGATGTTACCTCTTTCTGTCTCCACAACGTAAAAGTTGCTCAGACCTGATATTAAAAAGCAGTGCCAGTAATTACTTATCTGGCCAATAGATGCCAAACGCGATGCTCCGCTTCCTTTTTCGTCTTTAGGACCACAGATCTACTGATGGCGCTGTGTAAATATCAGGTTGTACACATACAGGTTTCCCAGTAGTTCTTTATTATGAGGGTTTCAGATGCAGAAGAGCAATTTGAACATCCTTGTAGTTAAGTCTCAAGAGGAAGGTGTAACAGAAGTGGTATACGAGACTTTACTAGCTGTGAATGTCAATATTTACTCCTCCTCCAGTTTTCCCCGAAATGTCTTCTCATGCAACAGCATCAGTTTGCTTTACTTCAGGAGCACGTAATTCCTGAAAAACCTCCAGGAAACTAAACGCTGGCAAAAAGGATGTTATTACTCTTCCTCATGACTGATACTATGAACTTCCTTCACAAAGGTGATCTCATACTGCAGTGAAAGTGTACCAAATTTATCTTGGTCATTACTTCTGCTTGTAAATTTGTCTGAATTTATGACTCTACTAAAGGTAAACAGTCTCACAGTAACAGAGTAACTGAAATGTCAACTTTAAGCGTTGTTTCTCAAACATAAAACACAAGACTTTTTTTTTTTTTTAAAGTGTCCCGTTGAAGAGTTTCTAAAGGCTGGTGCTTTCTGATGGGCTGCTATATCGTAGGTGCAGAGGGTTTCAAAGGACCACACAGGTTCAGTTGTGAATCACTTACAGGCTTTGCTGGGTTTCCAATATATTTTGTTCAAACCGTAACAGACAGGCTGTGTCTGTGGTGGTTTTTGAAGCTGTCACTCTTCCTGATATCAGTCTCAAGCTTAAGTTGTAGTCCTGCTGAAGTTGTCGTCCCACGTGGCCGTTCAGTGGAGTTCCCGGTCGAGTTGGTTTGGTACTTTGCTCAAGGCATACATTTCAAAAACCCCTCTGTCTTTCTCTTTCAATTTCCAGTGTCGAGTGGAGCTCTCTCTTTCTCCCTCTCGAATTTGTAACCTTATGGCCACAACCACTTTTCGGCTCTCTCGCTCGCTCTCTCTCTGTATCGCTCTATCGCCCTCACATTTTTTTTCTCTTTCCTATCTTGTTGATATAGTTTCTACAGGTCCTGTTGGTGTGGAAGTCTTCTATTTTAAAAGCACATGCACATCTTTTATCTTATCTTCTTCTCCCTTTCTTTGAGACTGAGAGAGAGCAACATGCTGGCCAAATGGAGTGTCTAATGTCTGAAATGTCACAGGTTCTTTTTAGTATTCACTGACATGTTTCTATTTTGATGTGCTTAACGATCTCCCCTGTAACACACTTCACTTCTTTCCATTCATCTTGCTCATTTTTCCTCCATTTTCCAGCTGTCAGACTTTCACCGTGTCTCTCTCCGTCTCTGTCGAATAGTCTCATCCCCTGTGAGCACACTGAGCACTAAGTGGCTCTGGCTCCACCAGTCAGCCTCCCACTGCAGTTACTTATTTGGTCCTGGGCTTATTTTCCCAGGCTCAACTGAACTCTCTGTGTACGTATGTGTCTCAGCCTCTCCCTCTCTGTCTGTTCCCCTCATCCACTTTGACCTCGATGCCTTACCCAGCCCCATTTGTAGCCAAGTGGGTGTGTATTTTTGCTCATGTCTGTGTGTGTGTGTGGGAATGTGTCTTGTATTCAATTGGATTACATAAAAACTTAGTCATGGTATAGACCCCACTGATTGCTCTTTTTTTTTTTTTTTACCTTACTTACTTATCTTTGCGTTACTTAAGTTTTTCTCTGTACTTAATTTACTCTCATCTTTTACTCTTTGCCTCTTTTCTTTTTGGGGATTGGGATCTTCCCCAGACATCAACAAACAGCAGCAAAGTTGTTTTTGTCTTGGGCAGAGTAGCACCATGAGTATTGCTAGAGCCCTCCACTCACATGTCTTCTCATTTGATAAACTTGTCGTGCAGGTTGAACATCCAAGTTGATAAAGGAAAAAGTTCAACGACTTCAGGATCTGGGCTTCTTTAGAACATCACGGGAAATTAATTTTTTCCATGCAAAATTCTAAGCCCTTCCTTAGTGGCTGCAATTAAGTGGTTATGCAACAACGATTAATCTTTCAAAAGAAAGCACAAATGCAAACAGTAAAATTAATCACTTTGTAAAGTAGTTCATCCCATCTACAAAACTGGGCAAGTGTCTTTTTCCTCCCTTGCTGACCGTGTTTACGTAGATCAGGGCACTCCTGGGGCCCATGTTTCATTGTATAATTGCATCGCTGGCTTTTGTTCCCATTGGCTTGGCTGGGAAATGACTCATTTTAAACCCTGGGGTTATACCCACCAGGGCTAATAATAAACAGTTTATCTATCTGTTAGGTCTGCACTGATGTCATTGCAGCAAAATCGTGCTACAGCATGGCTACGCATTCATTCAATTGTCTGGGAAACTCATTTTGTTGTCTGCTGACCTGGACTGAGCAGACAGTTTTATTATTACACCAAGCTAACTAGATTTTCAACTGGGTGATTACTGCAAATAATTTGCTGGATTTTTGTTAATGTAATGTGCTCAAAAGTTCAATTCTGTCTTCTTCCCCAGTGGCAATCCATGGGATTTGGTTCTATGATAAGGAGGACTGTCAGCGCATCGCCCAGAGGATGAAGATGTAAGTAACTGTAATTGGATGATCTTCAAAACAAGATTTGGTTTGCTTAAAAATGACTAATGAGTTATGGACCAGCTGCCAAAGCTTGACAGAAGACTCTTTTATTCATGTGTGCAGTCTGACCCAGCAGGAGCAGGTCCTGGCTCAGTCCCAGGGTGGTTGGTTATCCCCAGGAGAAGTAAGAGCAGGGGGAGGGGGAAAAGGTGAAGCAAAGGGAGTGGACATCATCCAGATGTTAACCAAAGCCCGCACAGAGTATGATAAGGTATGTGCACACTGTAGGATTTTGAAGAGAATAAAACAATTAGAACAACACAGATTAAAATGCTGGGAATAGCTAAGCCCTAATAATCTTTGCATTTACATTTGTTCATTTAGACCTATAGGATGCAGGGAGTATTTTCTAGGATCCTCAGTTAGTCACTTATAGTAATCTACTTTTTTTGGCAATTTTTGTGATATAGTTTTTATGTATTTATTTACTTATTTTGTTAATTGTCTGTCCTTTGTCTATTTTCTCTGTGCACCTGTCTTAGGAAAAATCAACCTCAGAGCCAAAGGAGATTGGTGGCAGCAGTGTTCTTTATGGAAACCCCCACCTGATTAAACCAATACCCGTTAAACCAAACACTCAGGTAGAACACCCAGTTTAACCCTGTTAAAATCACATTTTTCATGTACAAAAGAGAGTTTGTAATGGTTTTCTTCCATTGTTGTGTATAAAACCCTGCTAGTGTTGTTTCTGTTTGTGCCTCTAACTCATCTTTCTTATTCTACTGTGCTTCTCTCATCCAGGACAATGAAGGTGCTGAGCCCAAGTCTCTTTCTTTGGCTACTCTGTTTGGCTCTCAGCAACGTTCAACTAAACCTGACTCTGACCCTTTTGCAAATGCTCCAGCACTGGGATCATCAGCGGGAAAAGTATCTCGCCCGCCTGTAGCTCGCACACTCACCTATGATGATACAGTGAACTCTGGCAGAAATGTGGCCTCTGATGGAGGAATCAAGGCTGTGGAAGATGGAGCAAATGTTGTTTCTGGCTTGTTGCAGAGTCCCTCAAGCGCTCACCAGCAGCAGCACTGCCCGGCCATCGCAAAGCTCATGCAGGGACAGAGAGGTGTCGGGACTGTGGGAGGGGTGCTTCAGACCGTGTCCGAGTCCCCCGAGAACCGGCTGTGTGACAACGGGGTGCCGCTGGAGCATCACCACCACCACCATCATCTTTACCACCATCAGCAACAACAACACCATCACCAGCATCAGCTTCATCCTGATCCAATCAGGAGACTTTTCCAAACCCAACCACCTCCTCTACCCACCACCTCTTTCTCCTCTGCAACCCCTAATTGTTGCTCCAACCCTTCCTCTCTACAGCAGAACCCTCATCTCTCCTCCCAGCCTGTAATGGTGAATTCTGTGTCACGCTCTCACCTTCAAGCACAACAAAGCCAGCAGCTGTTTATCAGCTTGTCCAATTCTCAACCTGAAATTAAGCAAAACAGCCAGACTGCTCCAGCTGCACAGGGAACAGGTGGGAAAATCTTTTGTGTTAAGTGTTCACAAACAAACAAGCTAACCCTGTACTGAATCAGTGTGCTACATACATTTTTATAATTACAATGCTAATAAACTATGGGAAGAATAACTTTTCTATAGTTTTAATGGGATTCTCCTTGCTTTACCAGGTTTGTTGTCATCTCAGGTGACCAGTAATCAAGTCATTCAACCTTCACAAGGTATAGTATTCAAGTTTTTTATTGTTTGCAGTCGCTAACTAGCAGGGTTTTAGTGTTGTGCACAAACTTAAGCCGATCGTTACTGAAGCTCTAACCAATTTTTCCAATAATTTGAAACTACATATAAACAGTAGTTAAATTAAGAAACTGCAGAGGAACTTTTTTTTTTCCCCAGTTACAAGACACATTATCTGTAGTAAGTTCCATTGCAGTGTTTACCCACAGGACTGGAGCTCATACATGTACATGCATGCACAATGCACGGAAATCCACACTTTTGGAAATGATTTACTGTAGAGTGCACTCACCAACCACTTCATTAGGTGCACCTGTTTAGCTGCTCATTAAAAGTAATTCTTGTTTTTGGTACCTTCGTGCTTTCTCGTCAGGATTGTCTCACGTGCCAGGTATGGTGTCACCTCAGGAGCTCCTCCAAAAGCTCCAGTTGGTCCAGCAGGAGCAGAGCCTGGCCTCTAGTGAGCCACCTCGGATCTGTCCAGGACTGGCTCCTCGATTCCTGGGGCCAGCCCAAAACCAGGGTGCATGCGTGATTTTAGGCACAATCCCAAACCCAACTGCAGCCACTGCAGGTCAGAAAGCTGCGCTGCAGTTACAGGTAAAGCCCAGTGTAAACAGTTAGTAGTTGATTTTATCAATTATATAAACAGAGCAAATGGCAAATGCTAGTTAAATTGGTGACTTGATAGCTGCAACAGTACATTGCCCCCTGTCTGTGCAGGTGATCTCGCCTCAGAGGATACCAGCCACTGTTGCCCCAAATCTGCTCCTTTCCCCGAGTATGTTCACTCAGACAAAGCCTAGCAGTGGGTTGTCTGCAGTTGGTCAGGAGAGCTCCCACACACCCTCAACTGTGCCCAGACCCCCTCTGCAGGAGGAGGTCAGAATCCTTTCCAGAAATCAGCTTCAAGCCACACTGCTGCATCTGATACAGGTGATTATTCCTTAAAGTTTGTGGTCTATTATGGCTTCACAACGGGGCTCGCTGTCCAGTTGTTGTGCTCACGTTGTAGCCAAATCAGTGCAGTTGTTTTGTTTGCAAAGAGAAAAACAGAGAATAAGCAAAAACAAACACACACACTTGAGGATTTTGTATGAAGTTGCCTGCTTGTGTATTTCAGAACGACAGCTCATTCCTGGACTCCATCTATGAAGCCTATGCCAGCCGCTTTGCTAAGGACTCCAGCAACAAGTATTGATGCAGCTTCACACCCTCGTTCTACACACGCACCCTTCCCGGAGGCTACTTCTTACACCTCATATGGATGCACCACTTCCTATTCCAAATCACACACACACGTACTTAAACACACACTCTGTACCTCCTCTGCACTCTATCGTTAGGAAGCCTGACTCTGTTTGCTCCAAGCCAAGTCTCTTGTTGCACAAAGCTATCACAAGTAACATCATGTTCAAAAAAAAATTGGTTTAGTCTGTTGAATACAGATTTTACCCTTGACCTCACCCTTTGAGTCTTTAGCAAAAACAAAACATGCTGCAAGCCTTCCAGTTTTCCAGGATGTTTCTGATACTCTTTCTTTTCCAGTAAGTGTAGCAATATTTCCTTTCAGTCAGTTGTCTCACACCAGCCAGCCTTTAACAAAAAAGTCTTCCTAGTCTAGAGCTAAAAGACATCTTCAGATATTATTTTAATCTCTTTTTATTTTACTTGGGCATAACAGGTTTGTGTATTTTACCACCAACAGGTTTTTAAATCTGTTATTACATTGTCGTGATGACTTTTATTCCTATCCTTTTTAACAGACACGAGCAGTGATAAGTGTCTACATTGTAATTTTAGTTAACTAACTGTTGTCAGCTGGTGCATATTGAAGTGGACGAGCAAAGCAAAATGTGAAGGAAAGAAAAGAGGGTTTTTTTGCAGCACTTTCTGAATATTATAATGTGTTTGAAGGAAAGGGAAAGGAAGGAAAACGTCAATGTCAGTCCAGCTTAAAAAGACAAGAAAATTACAGGAACCTGACAACCTGCACTACCTCACAGAGAACTAGTTTGGTGGTATACCTGTGTTTTAAATCAAGTGGCATAAAGGTGATTGGTTTACGT